GTGTATATTTTTGTATTTTCAGAGTTCGACTGGTTTTATTGAGACTTTCTAGGGTCAGTGGATCCCAGTGCTGGTCACGGGCCCGGGGTTCGAGGCGTGACATGTCGAGACCTAAATTTATTAATTGGTTTGATAACATATTCATTTAATCCAATTTTTGTTAATATCAAAATTTTAGTATTATATAATAAATATTAATATTATATTTTGTGATTAATGAATAATTAACTGCATTTGAGTTTATTAATTAATTATTAAAATAAATTTTCTCAATCAAGTTAAAGAAAATTAATTTTACTTCAAAAAAATGGAACCTATCAATTAAATGTCATATAATTATATTTATAAGAATAAAAGTAAAGCAAAAATTTAATTAATAGGCATACCTTATTATGTATGTGCCAGAGCACAATAAATATTGAATTATAATTTTTTAAATAAAAATTCAGTTGTGATTATTTAAATTTTAAAAAGAAAATGATATAAAATTTAATATTTTTAATGAGAGACCCAATTTTGTTTTTAATTATCAAACAACCCTTCAACCAAAATTGGCATTTCAATTCAATCCCAGTTATCAAACAAGGACAAAAGTTAGGTTATATTTTTTAAGTTACTTTTTTATTAAAATATTTGGAGTCTTCTCATGAGTATTTTATACTCTTTATTTTTTCTGTAAAATAATATTAATTTTTGTTGTTACAATGTAAAATAATATTAATTACATAAACAGGAGATATTACAGACATGTTATGTCCGTACACAAATTGATTTATTGAAATTCGGGGTAGTGGGGGCCCATGACTTGCCGCGGCCCTTTTTTGGTAGCCGAAATAGACCCGCAAAAGGTTCAGGTCAAAGAGGAGGCGGCATGGTCCAACCCCCCCCCCCCCCCCCCCCCCTCTCTCTCTCTCTCTCTCTCTCTCTCTATATATATATATATATATTAATAATTAAATATTAAATTATGACACTGTCATTTTTTTAAACAAATTATTGTTATTGACCGATATATTATATTTTTTGTATTATATTAATTTTTATATATTTTTATTATATGAATTATTAATGAATTAAATTTTAATTTGAATTCATTTGAAATTTAATCTAAATTTAAGAATTTAAATTTAAATAAGATATTATAGTTTAAAAATTTGAATATAAATATTCATAATTTAAAATAAAAGAATTATATATAAAATTAAGTAATCCGAACTGTTAAATATTCAAATTCAAAATTTAACAATATTTTTATTAAATTAATAAATTTATATATAATATTAATAAATCTAAATTTGTAAAAATTATATTAAGAAAATCAGTAAATTCAAAAATAATATAATTTATGTAATAAAGTTGAAAAATTTAAGTACAAAATAACATAATTTTCTTATTGTATTAGATTTTTTATTGAATTTTGAATTATTTATCAAATTTGAATATGATTTAACAAGTATAAATATTATATAATCTCGCATTAAATTTAAATATAAAAATAAATAATCAAATTTAAGTTTAAATTTATTAAATTTAATCAAAATGTGATTAACTAACAACTTTACTTATTTATATATTGAATTTTTTTGTGCGGAGCACGTATTCCACTTTATATTCTCCGCTTGTCGAACTCCAATACTAACAACTTTTTTAAAATAAAAGAGAGGGGGGAAAGGCAAGGAGTAGGCTAGATAAATTAGGCCTAAGAAAATGGACATGGGATGTGCCGTGTTGCAAAAAACAAGACTTGTACGGAGTTTGTTGTGAAGTGCAGATAAAATTAAAAGCATGTCCGTCGTGGGCTCCCCTCCTCCTGCTTCCCAACTCATGCACCCACTTTTCCACGAAAATACCCTTGTCATCGATGTCCTTGGATTGACAAGTGTAAAGACAAAAATTCAACACGTCATGATTTAATTTAACACGTATAAATTGTATAAATAATTTTCAAAAAAAGTAGCTCTTTTCCATGCTTCTTTGCGAGATTGAAGAGGTGAGTGAGTTGATGACAGGAAGCAAGTACAATGCCCCAACTTTCGAGAGCTCGTGTCTCAATAATGTCGTGAAAGAGGGCAGCCAAAGAGCACTTATGTGTCCGCCAGAGAGTGATATGTTATAAAATGATAACTCCCAACCTAATAAGCTCAAACAATTAATAATATTTTAAAAAAATTCTTCAAATTTAAAAAATTTATTAAACTAATTAATTTAAATAAAATTATCTAACATCTCTCAGTAAAGTAGAGCTCTTATAGTGAGTGTTTTCATGAATAATACTCAAATTTGAGACTTTATTTAAAAAAAATAAACTTTTTCATGAGAGCACTTCCACCCATCTAAAAAGAGATAAAAGGGTTCTTTGAACATGATAATTACTTAATGTTCTTCATTAGATTACTTATTTGAGAAATCTTAAATGTAAAATCTAGTTACGTGCTGAGTATAATTAAAATTAAAATAGGTATGAAAATTTATTTGAAATTTCTTAAATTTACATTCTCTTTTGGAAAATTATTGAAAATAATATTTATAGAAGTCCTCAAGTGAAAAGTTTAGAAGTTTATTGGATAGAAAATTAAATATTTTCCCAATTAAATAATTAAAAAGTTGGACAAAACAAATGGCAAGGAAAACCCAATACAACATTTAAAAGCATCTCTAGGCATGTTAGTGTATATGCATTATACACAAGCCAATGAGAATTAAGTTTAATGCAATAATGGGTCACTGCCATTACAATTTACATAGTGAAATATTCCCAAATGAAAAAGAAAAAGTTGACTTCATTTCCAGTATACAATAAACATGCACCAAATTAGATTATAGTAATGGGGTCAAGTCTCGTTTGATAAGTCAATAATGGAAGGCACTATAAAAACTTCAAATTACCAAAAAAAATAGTAAGAGAAGAAGACAATCGAATCCCTTCGGCTGTATTTTTGTGAAGATGGCTTCTCCTTGGCTAATTGCATGGTAGTCACTTTCAATGGTTCAAGATTTCTTATAAAATTATTCATGGTGTTTAAAAATTGTGAATGGTTGCTCCATCACTCTTGAGACGGTGGCATGGAAAAGGAGGGGAAGGGGGGGGGGGGGACCCGTTACCACTCACCCATTTGAAATGGCTTGTTCAAAGGCTATAATTGACAGCACTGATGAGAGTGTTGTGGACGGTGAGCTCAGCCCACAGTAGAAAACCTGCATGAAGAGTTCCTAGAAACACGTCATACAGGTATTTGAAACTTGCACGAAAATTCAACACATGCAAAGTACTTAATATATGTTGTACATATACATACATATATATGTATATATGTATATGTATGCGTATAGCAATATCTGTTTTCACCCAGAAAACTCGCGCGGCAGATATTTTAAAATCTGGATCAGATCTGTTAGACTTGACAAATGGTTGGGATAGAACTTTTTAACTAGAATTAAAGTTTGATAATCCAATAACAATTAACAACGGGTAAAATCAGGTAGTTTTAACTAATTTGTTATATCAATTTAAAATGACGTATTTATTAATTTATACTTAAAATTTGTGTAATTTAAATTATATTATATTTATAGTAAAATAGAGAGTATTGTTATTTTGAAGTTAAATAATAATTTATTAATTTTATTTATTTTCAAATTTTTTTATCAACTTGTTTGACTAATAGTTCAACCATAATCTGACACTCTTACCGGTTTAATAACCAGCCCCGGTTTTAAAACATCACTTATAATAAAACTTTATATTATTTTTTATGTTTAGAAAAATAATTAGAAAATGGGATTTAAAAAATTATTTAATTTCATAGAAAAATTAGTAATTTTAAAAAATAGTCTGAAAAACCTAAAACCGGGATTTTTTGAAAATTTAGATTGCAAGGTTTTTTTTATTTAAAAAGAGCTAACTTTTTCATGTTGCAAAATAAAAAAATATATTTAGAAACTCAATTTTTATATAAATGACTAAGCGCCAAAAATAGAAAATTTTTAAAAAACTAACCAAATACTGGATAAATTTAATAAAGTTGTTTAGAAGGGAAGAAAATTTAAATCCCATATCTTCTCACTCTATAAAGGGGAAACTGACTTCCTCTGTGAATATAAAAAAGAGCCGACACGTTCACGATCACTAAGGAGCAGAGGCCAGACCACTTTCCACTCCTCAAACCTCTCCCCTGTCCCTACTTCGAACTGAATTTTCTCTGTTCGACAACTTCTCTGCAATCTCTTACCCAATTTTATAATCCCAAAAAAATCTATATGTGTACGTCGTGTCTCTCTCTCTCTCTCTCTCTCTCTTCTTTTTCAGTTTTTCAGATATAATTCAATTCAATCAAACAATCCTAGAGAATTAGTGTGTATATATGCACATTTTGCTTCTCACTCTCCCATTCATCTTTGTCCAATACAGAGTTGTTTATCGAGATAAGGAGAGAGCGATTGCGCTCTGAATTCTGATTCAATAAACTCAGTCAATTTCCTTTTCTTGATCAAACCCATCTCGATTCTGCTCCTGGAGAAGTGATTTTTTTTCTTTAATCTGATTTTGCATGTTGGATGGCCGTTCAGGCGCAGATATTTTCGGCGGCTCACAGAGTTTGATGGAGAATGTTTTTGGGCTCAATGAGCACTGTTTCAATCTACCAGCGAGGCAGCAGAAACCACCAAACCCCTGTTTCGGCAGCACTTGGTTGCTTCCTCGCAGCAACAGTCACCAACCGCTGGCGTTTCCTACCCAGATCGAGAGGGAGGGGCAAGAGATTGATCGCTCATCTTTTCACAGGTTTCAGCAGAAACAGCCTTTTATGTTTTAAAACTCGATTTGTTTTCTGTTTTTAGTTTTTTTGATTTTGTTGTCTTGATACTGATTTCTGAAACAGAACGAGATACTGAGACTGGCTTTAGAAGAGCAGAGAAGGCAGACAATCCAATTGCTTCTGGAGACATGTGAATCAAACGCAGTGGCCCTGTTGAATCAAAAGGACGAAGAAATCGCGACAGCCATGGCCAGAACAACCGAGCTGGAGGGCCTAGTTAAAATTTTGGAGGTCGAGAACCAAGCTTGGCAAAGAGCAGCGATAGAAAACGAAGCAATGGTCGTATCCATTAGGTGTTCGATAAAACGCCTCATGGAGAGCTCGTGCCTTGCTAGCGGGGCGGAAGACGCACGGTCCTGCTGCGGCGAATCAGAACAGAACAAAGGAGGAGAGGAGGGAGACAGCGAAGAAAGAGCAAGAGAGAGAAAGAGGGTCTGCAAAATCTGCGGGTCTCGGGGCTCGCGCGTGTTGTTGTTGCCCTGCAGGCACCTTTGCTCGTGCGAAGCTTGCCAGGGCTCCTTGTCTTCTTGCCCGGTCTGCGGGGTGGCGAAGAAGGCGAGCATTGAGGTTCTCGTGTGATTTTCTAGGATGTTGGGTCTTCATTTTTTCCTGGAAAAAGTGAGGGAAGTAGTTGGATCCGGTGGGGTGAGGATGGATATGGACAGGAGAAGCAGAGTTCAATTTGCACATGCCTTTTTCTACTTTTTAATTATTAACTTTCTAGTAGTTTCCTATCTAGTTTGAGGGTTCAAAAAAAATCCCATTTAATCAATTGAACATGAATACAGGGCAAAGTAATTCTGTGTTCTTCTACCTATTTTTCCCGTGAAGTATTTGGTATTGGCTTGTTTGGAGGGATCACTGTTAGAATGTTCAAAAAAGGGAATCAACTAGTATACATTGATTAAATTGCAATTTGGTTTTATTTTATTTAATTTAAAAAACAAATTTTTATACAATTTCGTATATCATTTAATCACCGAATAAACAGAATCATATGTTTTATATTATATTAAATTATAATATATATATATATATATATATCCACACACACATGACTTAAAACTCTATCTTTATATACATAATTTCTCTTTACTGATTGATTATATTTTTTTATTCTCTTTTATATTTATATTTTTTTAATAATTAATTACTTTTCTTTATTAAAGAATAATTTCTATTAACATAAATTAGACTCTATTATATTATATAAATATTTTTACTTTATAATTTGTAACTATTATACTTAATTGATAGATAATGTATTTATTATACTTAATTGACAAATAATGTATTTGTTGAAAAAAATTTAAATATTCAATTTTTAAGAAAAAATTTATTGAATTTTTTAAAATAGTAAATATAATTTATTTTATTTTTACAAATTACAAATTATAATTAAAAATTAAACCAAACTCTAAATTGCATTTAGTTTAATATGTAAAAATTTATATACTGTTAAATATGCTTTGATTTGTACCAAACTACACCATGAGCACTCCAATCGCTAAATTCAGACTTTATAATTTGAGGTAAACTCAAGTCGATGATTAAATAATATTAGAGTTAAAAGACAACTTAATGTTATTAAAGTTTCAGAATTGACATAAGATCAATTGGCTTATTGGGCGGTTTTGGAACTTCAAGAATGGAATTCTATTTCTGAAGCCTCTGCAAATTCCCATATATTACTTTTTCCAAAAGCAAACTAATATTATTTATATATTTTCAACTTATTTATTATTATTATTATTATTATTTTGTTACATAACGGATCGAAACCTAAAAGAAAACAAAAGCAAATTATTTAAAAGCAAATATTCCTAGTTTATTGAATCTCAGGAAGACCCCCAAACTCGAAGAGAGGAAAGCCTATTCCTTCAAATCAGGGTCAGCTAAAAGGCTAATTTAGCAAGGAATCTGCGTAGGTGTTGAGAGCTCTTCTGATATAGACAACCGGAAGTTGCTCAACTCCAAAAATAAGAGGAGCGATATCTGTAATACCCAAATTTTTTGAGTCAATTAAGATATTTAAAAAGTTTAAGAGTCTAATTAGTAGAAACGGGAGTTAGGGGTCTAATTGAAAATTAGAGGGCTCAATAGAACAAAATTAAACTTTTGAGGGCCTTAATTGGAATACTTAGAAATGTGAGAGACTAGATCACACATAAGTAAGAATTGGGAGACCAAATTGAAAATAACCAAAAATCAAATTTGGGTTTATTATTAAAATTCGAATCCTATGCAATTTTTGGCGATCAAATTGAAGAATAATCCTCATCTTGATCTGTCAATTGAGTCAATAAATATAACCACCGGCTTGTCGAGAACAAAGGCCCTCAAACAATTTGAAGAAATATAGCCTTTAACCCTTGCAATTTGACAAATTTTGCTCCGCTGTCTGTCTACCATTGCCGACTAAGCTTTGGCCAAAAATTGACTCAATTAAGGCTGTTTTTGGCCAATCAACCACTGTGCCACCATCGCTAGTCTAGTCCGACCACCATTACAAAGGTAGATCGCAAAACTTTGAAGGAATTCCATGTAATTTTCTAATTTTGTTACTCTTGAGTTTTTTGTAGATAAACATAGGGGTGTTCACGGGTTCAGTTCGGTTCGGTTTTGGACCTAAACCAAACCGAACCGAACATGTCGTTTTGGTTTTCCTTGAACATGATCGGTTTTTTTTTTCAAAAAATCGAATGGTTGACATGTTCGGTTTTTCAAATTTTTTTTAATTTGTAAAAAAATTTAATATAAATATAAATATATATAATACAAATATAATATATATTATATATAATATCTATATAATAAATATAATTCATTCAGTTCAGTTCGGTTTGGTTTTATTTTGAGACAAACCGAAACCGAACCGAACCGATCGGTTTATGAGATGTTATAACCGAATTAAATCGATTCCTTTCAGTTTGGTTCAATTTTTGGTCGGTTCGGTTCGGTCCGGTCGATTTTGTTCGAACACCCCTAGATAAACAAATTAGGAAGACAGACTCGATTAAGTTCCAAGTCTGCCTCCTAGGCTAGACGTAGACTAGACTGGGTTTATTGGTTGGGGCTGGACAATTGGGTTGAGCCTTAATTGGTTTGGGGCCTTTAGTTTGGGCTAAATGGTTTGGACTTAGACCAAGTTAGTATCCAAGTTGGGTTTTAGAAACAAATCTGGATCTTAGATTCGGATCAGAAAATAAATAAATAAATAGAAAAAATTGAAAAATTAGCTAGTTCAAAGGATTTACCATTGGTTTACTTATTGTTTAAGGCAAAATAGGTTAGTTTAACACTTAAGCCAGCTAATTTAATGTTAGTTTAGGGTTAATGTATCTGGCTTAAGCCTTAACCATTCAATTAGAGTTTTTAATCACTAGTTTAGTGACTTATTGGACCGATTCAGTGAATTAAAGGCTGGTTTTTGTGTGTTTTATGTTCGATTTAATGGATTTTTAGACCAGTTCCGTACATAAACAAGTTCGATTTAGTATAAAAATAACCAGTTTAATGAGTTAAAGGGCTGGTTCAATATATTATAGGCAGGTTCAGGGCTAGTTTAATGGATTATAGACTGGTTCAGGGTCAGTTCAAGGGCGGTTCAGTGTATTATTGATTGGTTCAGGGTTAGTCCAGTGACCTAATAGCCAATTTATAGTCAACTCAGCATTTTAGTGATCGGTTCATTATCGGTTTAGTACTTTAATTGATGATTTTGAAATTTAACAAACTAGTTTTATGTTTTATAAGATCGGTTCAAGACTTTGGTACTTAATTTATGACTTATTTCATTAGTTCGGGATATTAATAGCCCAGATATGGGTTCGGGCACAAAAATCTAAAATGTTATTCGGTTTTTTAATTAGGAAATTTTAATTATTTGATTCTTAGATACATTAGAGACCTAAAATAAGATATTTTATTATTTTTATGATTTCATATTCTTTGTACAATTTTCATTGAGTTTATGTCACCAAAGATAAGATTTCTTGAGTTCCATTGGTCCTGTGAGTGATAACATACATTTATGAACATTTATTATTTCTTCATATTTGTTATAAATTCTAATTTTACATGATAAACTTAATTTTTGAAAATTAAATTAAATTCTATTATAAATGCTTAAAACAAGGGACATGTATGTAATTCTTAAAATTGTTTTGAAAAAATTATGTGTTATTTTTGTTAGATTTTATGTATATCTGTAAATGAAAAATTTTAATAAATTGGTTCTATTTATTTTTGGAAAGCTATTTTACGGGAGTTTCAGATTTTTAGAAAATTATATCTAATAATAGTATGCGTTAAACTAAATTCACTTTAACTTGTATCCCTAACTAGTAAGGACGGTATTAGACTCTTATGTTAGGCCGACATGAGAGACTTGTATATTTGATTTACGATAAACTAAAATGTTGCTGTTCTGATTTATGGTAAATTAAGTGTCGCCGTCCTGATTTTTAATTTCTGTTACGTTTTGGATTTCAAACTCCCTAAATTCTGGATAATTGATAAAAATTTGTTTTCTGTAAAAATATCTGTTATATGTGTATACTTGTCCCTTATCTCATGGATATATGTTATTATTCACTAGGTGTCACAATTATGATATCTGTTCTACATTGATTTCTAATAATGATATGATATGGTATACAAGAGGTTAGAGACTATTACTGAACAACTTGGACTTAAGTATTTTGGGTTAGTGGTTCAAGTTTAATAGGTTAATTAGGCCAGTAGCTCTCGAGTCGTTACAAATAGTATCAGAGCAAAACAATCTTTGGACTTGTTCTGTTTGGATATGAATATAGATTTGTGACTTGACGAGGATGTTAAGTATTTAAGTGAAGAAGATTGTGATATCCATTCTATATCGATTTCTGATAGTAATATGATATGGTATATAAGAGACTAAAAACTACTACTAAATAACTTAGACTTAAATATTTTGAACTAATGGTTCAGGCTCAACAAGTTAATTAGGCAAGTAGCTCTCAGGTCATTACAACAACCCAAACTTGGGCCTGTGACCAGTATTAAGGTCTATTAACCCTAGTAAGCCCCACATCCATAACATATCAACAGTACCAAGCACATCACAAAAGCATAACTCAAACTCTTTATATACAAGACTAAAATCCTGTTTGAAAAAATAAACGAGCACCTAGAGTACAAAATAATAACAAAATGAAACATGCCCGTACATATATGAAGTCGGCAAGAAATCGGCTCTGTTGCCAAACTCTAGCTAAAAAACAAATAGTCAACCCAATTTGGAAAGATAATAAAGTGTAAGTCACTAAACTTAGTGAGTACAGATGATACATATTCTAGTCATGCTGGAATATGCATCGCAATGTATACCAAAACATACACACACACACACACAATGAGCAATATCAATACATCAATATATATATATGTGGGAGTATCGTTATATATAGTCATCATATCATCATATCAGACTCAGGCACTTTCCATTGGATGCGACAAATTACTATTCTCCAGTCGAGCCTTATGACGTCTCAATCTCATCACGATAATGTGCATCATGTCCAAGGCACCACAACCTC